CGTTTGGTGTTCGGCTGAGTTCTTTATCTCTTCATTTGATGGTCTAGGGTTTCAGGATTGTTGATTCTCTGTTTGGCTTAGTTTTTCGGATCTTTGCTGTGGAGGGACGGCATGGTGCTTCTGCCTAGAGCGCCATCTTGCCGGACTCTCCTCCTCAGTTTTTTATAGTATTCCAAAAAAAAAAAAAAAACCAGACTATCAGACTCCAGTAACTATACTTGTAACAGACTAGATTGGAGACAGCAAGCCTAGGCCATAAGGTCTGCTCAGAGTGTCTGCGGTAATCTAGACGGGAAGTAATGGGAACCTGAGCCGCGGAAGGGCCAGAGTTAGCAGAGAAGAGGAGACAGACTATAGAGCTTTGTCACTGGGAGGACCTCTCTGACGTGATGTTGGTGGGATGCAGTGGCTGGTAGAACAGACCAGGTATCCAGGAAGGCGCCCAGTTTTGAGATTGGGCCACTGGGTGAATGCCATGGCATTTATAAACAGAGGAAATACAGAAGGGCCCACGGCACACCTCTGAGGAAGACGAGGCGTTCATTTCCAGAAATGCTGCTTATGGTATTGTGAGGTGTTCAAGTAGAAAGATCCACCAGTCAGGAGCCAGGGACAAATGTTCCGGTTGAAGACAGAAGCCGCAAGTCATCAGCTCAGAACTGGATGCGAGAGCCCAGATAATGAGGGATAGGAATACCTTGGGAAAGCAATCAGAGCAGGAGAGTGAGGAGGAGATGCAGAGGCAGGAGGAAAGTGAGAAGAGGACATTGCCAGGGAAAGTGTGGGAGGAGAGAGCTTCACGGAGAGTGTGAGCAGTGGTGCCGAGCGTTCAGAAACATCATGGAAAAATGGGACGCTCTATCCAGCCACGTAACTCGTGACTTCTACAGGTACAACTCAGTGAAGGGATGGGTGTGGAGCTTAAACCAACTAGGCTAAAGACTGGGTCACGCAAATGGTTAGGCGCTGAACTGCTAACTGAAAGGTTGGTGGTTCGAACCAACCCAGAGATCTCTCAGAAGACAGGCCTGGTGATCTGCTTCTGGAAGGTCCCAGCCTTGAAAACCCTATGGAGCAGTTCTACTCTGCACATGTGGGGTCGCCATGAGTTGGAATCAACTCGGCAACGAAGAACAACGAAGATTCACTGGGAGGTGATAAAGTGGGCACAGCCACATCACAGCACTAGAGATTGTTCTTCCAAAATACCTGGTTACGAACGCGGGGAACTGAGCAAGGGACTGCAGAAGTGGCGGGGGTAGGAGGCGGCTTTTTTTTTTTTAAGATGGAAGAGACTTTAATATATTTATGTCCTAGGAGAATGAGATAGAAGACCTACAGAAGGAGGTCTTCAAAACATTTAGACACTGTTTTTAAAATATACTGCCACAGAGGCGAGAGAAAGGAACAGGGGAGAGTGAACACCAGCTTACGTCAGTTAGTATGAAAGGAGGCAGTGGGTACAAAGGAAAACCAAGACGACTCCAGAAGTTTGGCTCCTTCGTAACTGGCTTAGGTTTAAGAGGAGTCCTTGGGTGGCACAAACAGTTAACTGCTCGGCTGCTAACCCAAAGGTTGGTGGTTGAGTCCACCCAGAGGCACCTCAGAAGAAAGGCCTGGTGATCGACTTCTGAGAAATCAACTATTGAAAACCCTATGGAGCACAGTTTCCGTGAGTTGCAATCAACTCTACAGCAGCTGGTCTGGTGTTTAGTTCGGTTTGAAAGCTCGCGATCGTCTTCCTAACCCAATTTTACAAGTGAGACAGCGAACTGGAAAAACAAAAAAATTCACACAGTTTTTGTTAGAGATTGGAAATCTCTATTTTCTGTTTCAGTGGTCTCTAATTTTTGTTCAAAATAATTAACAAGCGTATTTGATTTTTATTTACTGTAGTTACGTTAAAAACTTTAAGGTATTAAAGGCACCCTGTGACTTAATGAAGATACTCACAATCCGCACGAGCCAGCACAAGGTAGATGCGGCTGTTGAGTAATGAGTGTTGTAGTGGGAGGGGGGGTTTTGATCATCGTCCCACGTCTCGTACCGCTCTGCGTAAAACACAGCCCTCTTGGGGTTCAAAGCACCAATCGGCTATAAAAAGACAAAAAGACACATTTTGTTTGATACGGTCATATTAGACATTCTAGATTATAAGTCTTCATCCTGGAAGTATTTTACTGTATTTCAAAGTGTTTCGCTAACCATTATGGTTAATTCTAAATTAAAAAAAAAAAAAACACATAAATTACATATTACAAAATTATAAATTACATTACATAATTTTTAATTTTATAAGTTTACTAACTGGGGTTTTGATATTAATTAACATGTCATTACACTTGCAGAAAATCACACAAGAAAATGATTCAAGTGTGCAAGTGTTCTTGATTTTACTAAAAGTTCTGGTAAACTGGGTCACCGTTAGGTAAGCCAACCAAATACATTTGTGTTATTTTCCTAGCCACGTAACCATGTACATAACGAACGTTTGCTTGGAGTGGAGGACATTCACTGAGGAGACTGGGAAGCAGTTGACTACTGAGAGCCGTGTTAGAGAAAACCCATGTGAATGGCCTGTCACCTGGAGCACAAAGGACAACCACCACCCTCATGGAAACCCTGCTGCAATGTCTGCCCCATGCTGCTGTTGTAGGGATGAAGCGTCCACCCTTTTTTCTAAGTTAAACCACAGACCTGAGGGTGAGGGAGCGACCCAGACACGTGAGGCTCCCCGGAAGGCATTCTGCGGAGGCCCCTGGGGCCCTTCCTGTCAGCACCACACAGTCCCTGAGGATGAGGCCAGCCCCCACCGTGCAGCACACAGTCCACGCTCAGGGCACACTTCTCTCGTTTTCAATAAAGCAGGCATGAACTGCATCACTGTCTGGAACTTCTTGGCAGACCGAATCATTAAGAATTCCTAGCATATGGTCCTCATAATTTCAAAGAGTAAACTACCTTAGGTTACGTTTTTTTGTCTGATTTGGGTTTAATGGCATACGGGGTCCACTCTAACGACATCTGACAGCACAGTGTTTTGTTTTAGGTCACACGCCACCCAGATAAATGTATGTCTAGAGAGAACAAAAGACGAAGACTAAATACAGTCCATAGTCCCTCTATTTCAAACTTTAATATAACTAGTTAACTCTAAAGGCCTCCCTCCCCCGAGGCTTAATCTGAACAAGGGAAGTAGTAGAAAATTACTGTCTCATTGGGACAAATAATATTATACAAGAGAGAAAGTTCCGCTTGTAAATTGCTCGTGAGATTTTTCCTTAGATCCCAGGAGACTAATCCAAACAACACAACAAAGTCAGCAGTTACAAGTCCATCAGAACTTCATACTCAGCTCTTATTTGCAAGTGTTCTTATCTTGAATATTAAAATTACTTGTAAATTTTGTTAATTTTTTCTTTAACTTTAATTATGACAACACAAACTATTTAATTTTCTAAAGCTGTATTTCTTGTGCATGAGAACATTAATATTTTAAGGATCCTAAATTCTTTTGTAATCATTTTTGTAAAACAAATTACAGAAGTATAAAACTGGTTTAAATACATGTTCTAAGTGTTCTAAGGCTTCAATTTCATTCCGTGTTATATTTCACTGGTTATTTCTCAAATCTTTTTACTTAGATTTAAAAAAGGCAATGTAATTTTATTAAACATCACATAAAATATTAATACTTTAAACAAGAGTATAGTTACTTTTTGATGAAAGGGTATTTATTATAAACTGGAGTGTGAGCTGTTGTTAAATTGAGACAGGAAGGTTTCCACTGAAAATGTTCATGTATTGTATACTTTTCTAGATATGTAGCTATCTGTCTTTCTAAATAATACTATAGGTGTATTTTTTTCAAAACACTTAAAATGCTTCCTACTTTGCTCTGTGTTGAATATGTTAACAGATCTTCCACATGCATAAAATGTCGGCATAATCCCCGAGGATCAACCTTATCTGATACTGTTTGTTCTGCAAGACCTCACAAAACATTCTTGAAAAGGCAACATGACCCCAACTCTAATCTTTTCCAGCCTTCCCCTCAACTACTGGAAAAGGGATAAAATAAATATTTACATTTTTTATTTTACTCAAGTTTCATCAAAGTCATTTTATTTGAATGTTTTACAGAATAATTCTTTGTAGGAAGCAGCTGCACACTATTAAAGTCTGTGCACGCCTCCATTAGTAACTTTAAAGTGCGTTTCTAATTTTGGAATTTTACCCAATGCGTTTAGAAATGAGTTTTATAAAACATAAGGTAGATGATTTGGTTTGTATTTACTATCTTCCATTATTTTGCATCTGATATTGAAGAAGCAATATATCATTCAACAGAAAAAAACCTTCAAAATGTTTGTCTAAGAAATGAGAATTTCATCATGGACGATGTATTTTTTATGGGATCCACATGAGATATAATATCCATCTATCAGTCATCTGCCTACCTGCCTTCCTGCCTACCTACCTACCTATGTATAAATTGATACAGTTGCAATTTGTTATTCTTTTAAATTTGAACAGGTAATTCAAGGTCAATCATTTGGACTTAGCAAACGAATAAGGTAATAATTATGTAAAAAAAAGTAAACTAAACTTAATGAAGTTTATAAATTTGGTTTTAATTGTTTTCATAGTTATTATAGCAAGAACCAGTTTCCCTTTCTTCCAAACAGTGGGTATTTAGATACAGTCACCTCTGTGCATTTTAGGTGTTTCTAAAAGAAAAGGTTTAGGTGAAAGTTTAAAACTTGCTATTTGATTTATTGCTATTATGCCTTTGTGAATTTATATGTTACAAGCTGACACTCTAATAGACAACAGAAAAGGATGCAAACAGGAAACAATGCAAAAACTAAAAATAACTTCTACCCTTACAACACCTCATTATTATAATTCAGTTTCTAAAATTGCTACAAAGCATACATAACTTGTAAAAAGCATTGTTTTCAATATGAAAGAACCGAAAGAGTGATTAATACTGTACAAAAATCCACACCCCTTGCAAAATGGATGGAGACCTATGTGTAACATTACCAAGTCTACATGAACCACTACTGCGTTTACTGCAGACATGATGTGAAGATTTCTCTGCCCCATCACTCAGCGTCCCCTTTTTAAAGACAAAAGAGAATTCTGTCTTAGACAAGTGCCACAAAGAGCTTTGTCTTCCTGATAAAAACTTCGTGATTTTATTATATGGAACAAAAATCCTGAAGGATGTTTCCAATGAGGAGTACTATTGTCAATCGATTTAATTTTGTTTAATCTGGTGTTTATTTGCTTCTATCTACCTCTGCATCTGTCTGTCTGTCTGACTGTCTGTCTGTCTGAATCTCACCCTCCTTTTTGTTTTCATAACAACTGTTGACATGCGATAGCATCAGTGTTCCTTGGAACACACTTTGAAAAATTCTGGTTAGAATCCTTACAGCATATTTTTCTGATAAATTAATATTTTTTTGTTTTATAAAACCTTGAGAGTTATATCGAGCCTCTTATTTGGGAACAGGTACATATAAATGAAAATCAGCAAAAATAACCAACAGAAATAATATAAATGAAAAAGTACTACTTACTGGGTGAATGGTGCAAAAAACTGAGTGGACTTTAGAGAAGAGAAATGTCTAAGCACAGAACTGGAGTGCTTGAATAAATACATAGAAAATTAACATGGACTGATCTAAAGCACGGTCAACGCCATCAAAATGGATTATAATCTTTAAGAATAAAATGAGTTTTCAGGAGAAATCAGAGGTACAATTAAAGTAATATTAATGAAACTGAGCCCTGCTATATACAGATATATGTGTGTATATATACATATATACAGGAAAACTGACAACTCTTGTGATGTTCATGAGGACAGGGTTCCACTTACGTGTCCATAAAATGGTCAAGAGTCCACTACTGCTGTTGCAACTGTTAATTATCTTGTATATTTGTATGAGACATTGTCTTCACATCCATTTTCTACACTGATATTCACAAGTCCATGAGCTTGGTAAGGCATTCATGATGAACTTAATTTCATGACAAGGAAACGGATACCTGGGTCTCTAGGAGCTCCACAACATGGCACTGCCTTTTCATTGATAAATATAAAACTCTCCTCTGCATGTCACTATTTTCCCCTATAACTGTCTACTTACTTCCTCACGGATCATAAAAACCTGTAAACCATTGCCGTCGAGTCGATTCAGATTCATAGCAACCCTACAGGACAGAGCAGAACTGCCCCATAGGGTTTCCAAGGAGCGGCTGGTTAGCCGCTAACCTTTTGGTTAGCAGCCATAGCTCTTAACTACTGCGCCACCAGGGCTCCTCATGGATCATAAATCCTTAGAAACGGAAGAACCTTCGGGCCTACTAGTCCAACTCTCTTACACTATAGATGAGGACACTGAAGAAAAGAAAAGTCAAAGCAAGACGATATTGCTAGTCGCTAGTTATACGTTTTACAGAGCCAGTTGAAGCTTTGTGCTAGTTAGTTAGATATAGCTCGAAACGGGGTACCCCTGATTATTTGTTTGGCTTCTAAAGATAGATTTTGGCTATCTGAACACTCTTAACACATCTGAGCTTCTAACATACCTAAATCACCTTATAAACGTGTCTTACAAAGATCATATAAAGAATCAAAACAGAGATTAATATTGTCCAAAAATCCACATCCCTTGTAAAACTGATGGAAAGCTCCATGTACCATTCCCGTGTCTGCATGAACCAGCAGTGTTACAGCTGGTTGCAGAAACAGCATGTACAGCCCAGTTCTGAAATACCATGACAATCAACAAGGGCTTGAGAATCCTCACAAAGGGCTTCAAGAATTCGCGCCTTCTTTTTTGGTCATGAACCACGTATCATATAAAATTCTCAGTTATGACAATGTAGAAATCATACCAAGAGTAAAGAAGCTTCTGTGTTCAAGAAAATGCCCCTTCGTCCCTCCACATCAGACTCATTCTTTTGGAAGTGGTTCAGATTTCAACTCTGAAGCCTCTCGTGACATCATCTGGTCACAATCAGGCAAGCTTACAGTCTCTTACCCAGCTGACCCCTCCTTGGAGGGACAGCTCCCT